TAAATTATTTAGGGTATGTCAAACCAGTCCTTAAGGTAAGTTTTGAGATGCATTTAAAAACTGGGAGGAAAATCTTTACGTAGGTTATTCATGTGTCAGATAGTTGCACTATCTTGGAAAGGGAAAATGACTGGTAGCTCGAATGTTTTGGGCTCGAATGGCTTGGAAGTTGAAATTTCTCCCTCCTCTCGATCTCTTCCCCTCTAGCAGTTCACTCTCGCCTCTCTCACCTCTCTCACTCTCCTTAGCAGATCCCTCTCGTCTCTCTCACCTCTCTCACTCTCAACAAACCTCTCTCTTACTCTCGCCTCATCCCTCTCTCCTCTCTACCTCTTTACTCTCGCCTCTCTCACTTGTCTCTTAAAGAAGTTCGAACCACGACGGAGGACGGAGGGCGACGAACCACGACGAACTGAAGCCTTTTGGTGTTGTTAATGATTGAGAAATTTTTGGTCTTCGAAGAAGAGGAGGTCTTCGAAGAAGAGGAGGATTGAAGAGATGAAGGGAGGCGATGAAGAGGAGGATTGGCCCGATCGGCAGAAATTTGATGATCTGATGATCTGCAGAAATTTTTTCTCTTCTTTCTCTTTGTATCCGAGGCTCGATTGGCCCCATCGGCAGAAATTTTTGGTGTTGTTGATGATGATGATGATCTACAGTATATATATGTTGTTGATTTTTTTTTTTTTTTTTTTTTTTTTTGTTGGGTGATTTGGGTTTGGTTTTTGTTTGATTTGGTTACTGGATTGTTTACTGGATTGTAAATTGATTTGGGTTTGATTTGAAGAAATTCATCTTATTGGATATGGATTGGGTTGCTGGATTGTTTACAATTTACAAACAACTTATTGTTTACAATCACCAAACCAATTTTTAGGATTGATTTGGGTTTGATTTGAAGAAATTCATGTGCATTTACTGGATTGTTTACAATTTGATGATCTGGTGATTTGGGTTTGATTTGGTTTAATTTTTTCCGTGTGTTAATCTCTCTCTCTGCTCGGGTGATTTGGATTGTTGTTGATGTTGATCTGGATTGAAGATGAAGGAAAAAAAAAAAAATTGTGGATGAATCCAGCAGCTAGACCCCAGCTCCTCCTCTTTCTTCTTCTTCTCTTCTTCTTTTTCTTCTTCTTCTTCTTCTTGTTCATTTTCAGAAAACACACGGGAAAAAAAAAAAAGATACCAAAACGACGTCGTTTTGGTGTCGAGCCAAATTCGAGCCTCCGAATTTCGAGTTATGAATCGGAACTACTTGGAAAGATTGATCACTTTCATTTTGATGCAAAAAGGAAAAATGAATAATCATATTATTGAAGTGTATGTCTACGAAATATTCGTCGCATACGTATTTCTCATGATCAAGTTTGTATCTTTTCAAACGATGTCGAATGATTTGAAAACACAATTCAGGTGAGTTTATCCGCGGATGTGTGTCGGAAAACCCCACGAATACTTAAGTTAATTCTCAATGTGAATATGAGAAAAACTCTATATGAATTCTATAAACAAAGCATTCGTTTAGCATATTAGTTGGGTTGACTTTTTGGTTAAAATAGTCACAAAAAGATAAAATAAGTTAAAAAGTCAATAATGGGCCAATTTGGGAACATGGAGCCAAATTTTGACTTTTAATCAATTTTTGGTCACATCACCTATCTATTTAGCCCCTACGGGCCGAACCACACCGTGTTGTTTGTGCACCCCGCCTGTACAATTTTTCAAAAAAATCAACAAAAGTCTGTGGAGAGTCAGATTGAATTGTAATAATTTTTGTGTAAAATTAATTTTTTTATTCTTTTTGATAAATAGTGATAACTTTTTAATTTTTTTGATAATTTTTTAACTTTTTAAATTATTTAGAGTATGTCAAACCAGGCCTTAAGGCAAGTTTTGAGATGCATTTAAAAGGAGGAAAATCTTTAGGTTATTATTCATGTGTCACATAGTTGCACTATCTTGGAAAGATTGATCACTTTCATTATGATACAAAACGGAAAAATGAAGAATCATATTATTGAAGTGTATGTCTACGAAGTATTGGTCGCATACGTATTTCTCGTGATCAAGTTTGTATTTCTTCAAACGATGTTGAATGATTTGCAAACACAATTCAGGTAAGTTTATCCGTGGGTGTGTGTGTCGAAACCCCTACAAATACTTAAGTTAATTCTCAATGTGAATATGAAAAAAACTCTATACGAATTCTATAAACAAAGCATTCGTTTGGCATATTAGTTGGGTTGATTTTTTGGTTAAAATAGTCACAAAAAGATAAAATAAGTTAAAAAGTCAACAATGGGCCAATTTGGGAACATGGAGCCAAATTTTTGCTTCTAATCTATTTATGGTCACATCACTTCTCTACTTTTTTATAGATTTTTAAAAAAAAAAAAATTAAAAAGTCAGTTTTTAACAAACTTTCTAAAACAATCTAAAATGTCACATCCAAATCATAATTATTTTATTTTTTCTTTTACAAAAGTTAAAAAAGTCAAAAATCTCATCTCAAACGAGACTTTTTAGTTGTAGGTTAAAATAACAAAAAAATCAAAAAATCAAATCACTTCCCAAACAAAGTCAAAATTGCATTACCTGATTCTAGGTTAACTTTGAATTTTTATGTTCTGTATGATAGAGTCCTAGTAGGACTCTAATTCACAACTATAGAGTCCTAAGAGTCTACTTTTTAAAGGATAATGTCAATTCTTTTAACATCTTGGTCTCCAAAGGTTAAGTATAACGGCCTAACTCCCAGGCTGGCAACTGGACCGAGTAGGGCATCTGCTTGGTTGCACGCCAATTGCATTACTGCTAATGACTAACCGCTGACTAGTACAACTGGGCGAAAACTAAACTCTAACATTGTGCTACTTTTGTCCAGTCCATATCCCAAATAGATTTATTATATTAGTCGTAGACATAGTTAGGCCAATCAAAGCTTTACATCAAGCGAGCTAAATTTGCCTAGTTGATACAACCAAACTGTTTGCCTGGTCACGTCACTAAGCCCAATTTGAACACTCAAGGCCTTTACCAAATCAGTCTAGCTGGTTAAAAGACTTGGCTAGACCCGTCAACATCCTTATCAGGCTGGTCGACATCGCACTTGGGCTTGTTAGTCCTTCTGACCGGCAAGAGTCTTAGCCCATTTTTGCTCTGTCAAAGAGTCAACTAGGCCAGTCAAAACCCATAACAAATAATTTATCTGGCCTCGACATTCTCTCTCCGGGCCAAGCTTCAAGCCCATCTATTCGGTTGTAACCTTGAGCCCGAGCTGAAGTTAGCTCAGCCCATTAGACCGGTATATACGTCCCTCACATGAAGTGTAATTACTAATTATACTACTATTTTCACAGTTTGACAATATTTTTTTCATCTTTATTTATCACATTATAGGTTCATAAATAGTATTTTTATCTGACATTATGTGAGGAAAATAAAAGAAATGATAGTTACACTATTGGAATAAAAAATTTAAATTACTAGAACATTTTCCAGCAACTAAAAGCATCTCAAGTGATTTTTGCCAGTTTGACAACGTTAATCTCGTGTTTTGTCTTCTATATTACTACTGAAAGGGAAATTCTATGGTACATGATGTTGTGATGTTTAGTTATGATTTATTATGATCTTAATTATATCTTATTGTAATGTTGGTTACGATATTATTTTGGTTATGATCTAAAACTTATTTAATTATATTTTATGTAATGTTTGGTTATAACTCAATTTTTTTTTTTAGTTATGACTCTTATAATATTGAGTTATGTCATTTATGATAATCAAACTTACAAATGACATAACTTACATATAATACACACCCTTTTGAAGGTGTACACCATAGCATTACCCTTAGTTGCTAAGTGCATCTCTAATGGTGTGCTCTCTTGCTTGTCAAAACTAAAAATTGACAATAATTTTTCAAATCTGTATTTATTGGTGTGATATTCTTTATAGCAATTCTAAAATTTAACAAGACTTCTGTATAGCTTTTATAACGAAACTCATAAATAACATTTATATTTAATATTTTGTGAATAAAATAGAATAAATAACATTCGTATGATTGGAATTACATTACAGTTTTTAGTATTATAGAATGCCAAAATTTAGATTCGTGTTTGCTATTATGTCACTAACTATTGAAAATACTTAAACCTTTTTATTTGTTTATTACAAATCTACCCTTTAACTAAATTAACGTTAAAGAAAAAAAATCTTAAGGTTTTAAACAAACAATTCTCTCCAGACCCATCCCACCTCTTTCGTTTGGCCCTTACCTACTCTTACTGTATACCAACCACTGCCTCTTTACTTCCTCCACCTATCTACCATCACTAATCATCCCAATGTGCCCTCACCACCTCTTCTACAACTCTTCACCCTTTCTTCTTCCGTCCTTAACCCAACGTCTCATGTCTCTAGCTCCTTTCTCCTCGTTACCCTTACCTTTTGAAACCTAAATTTGTCACATTTTCACATTTTGCTCACTTCGCCACCGACTTTCGCCACCTTTTCGCCATTTTTATTTCTTATTTAACAGCCCCTGTAGTACATTTATACTTGTCACTCCATCGTTTAAATACCTAGAATTGTCACCTCATCCTCGTTTTCTCATTTTTTCAACACCACTCAAGTCCCTTCACTTTCTACTTTTGAAAATCTTAAATCCTTTATCTCTCATCATCATCGTTATTTTCTTGACTACTTTGTCATTAGCCATCTTTGTAGAAACAATAAAAGAGAGATGAGAGATAGGTATAGTAATGAAAGAAAACAACAAAATAGCAAATATAGAGGGAAAAGAGGGAAAAAAAAAAAGAGTAAGTTAAACATGAGAGTATGTTTGAAATTATGAAAGTGTAAATAGATAAATATAAATAGATAAATTTATTAAATAAGTGTAATTAAAAGAAAAATAAAAAAAATGGTGTAAAAAACCACAAAAGTGGATGTCAATGAAAATCACCGCCTTCCTATAAAGCCCCCAAATCTTCAACTCATTTCATTCTCTCTCTCTCTCTCTCTGACCCTTGGAGACTCCCCAACGAAGCTAACCCTCCGAAGCCCATCTCCGATTTTCACTCTCCTCTGTCCCAACTGTAAAATTTTTGTCTAGAATGGACTTAGAAGAAGAGTACGATCCAAGCTACAACGATGAAGACGAAGATGAGATCACTCAAGAAGACGCTTGGGCTGTAATTAGTGCTTACTTCGAAGAGAAGGGTCTGGTTCGTCAACAGCTCGATTCCTTCGATGAGTTCATTCAGAACACTATGCAAGAAATTGTTGACGAGTCCGCAGATATCGAGATTCGACCCGAGTCACAGCACAACCCTGGTCACCAGGCCGATTTCGCTGAGGTTCTACTCTTAAATCACTAGGTTTATGTGTTCTGTAGTTGAAAACCCAGTTGAAAAAATTGGAAATTAAATCAGATGAAATTGAATACAAAGCAGTTATTGTAGTTAATTACTATGATTGGATGAAAAAGAGTAAATTTTGTTATAATTATATGATTGAAAGCATGGAGTACAACAACTTGTTTGATTTGATTGTGCATTGATCATCTGCAGTATGGGTTACTGGGGTTTTTGCCGCCTTCTATTTTGAGTGTGTAGGTTTGCAGGGTTTCTGTGTAGTTTTCAGGGGATCTAGTTTTGTGATAGTTGGCTGAAGTTGAACTCAAAATCAAAGTTTTGTTGTGGTTTTGGGGGTAGCAGAGTTAATTGTTAGTAGCTGCAGTTGGGTGGTGAAAATAAAGCTTTGTGATAATTTGATTGAAGCAGCAATGAAGATTGAAGTATTTGTAATTATTTGGGTGGTTTGTGAAGATTAATTTTTTTATTTTTTATTTTTCTTGAAATCGGCAAGTTGAAGCTTAGTTTGATTTCTGTTTTGTGTACTTGGTTTTTTGATTGCCAAAGATTGAAACACTAAATGCCTAATAAGTATGTGATTACTCTTATCAGAAAACCCCGTGGAAAGAATTGGTAATTACTAGAATGAACTCATAATTGAAGCATTTATCGTAGTTGGATACTTATTTTGCATGGTTGGTAAGGTTCATAATTGTATGATTGAGAGTTTGAGACATGAAGAGCAGCATTTTAGGTGATTCTAGTCTGGATTAGTTGTCAGTAGCCATGGATAGTTGTCCTTGGACTTTGTTGATTTTTGGGTTTTGGGTGGTTACAGAGAAAAAGCATAAGTTTGTAAAAGTTGGAATGATGTTGTTCAAAAAGCAACAATAACAATGATAAGAATTTGGGGCAATTTTTATGGCTTTGTAATGATTTAACTTTTCTCTTGGATTGTAGTAATTATGAGTTTACTTGCAGACCATCTATAAGATCAGCTTTGGTCAGATTTACTTGAGTAAGCCAATGATGACCGAGTCGGATGGAGAAACTGCAACTTTGTTTCCGAAAGCTGCGAGATTGAGGAATCTAACATATTCAGCTCCCTTGTATGTGGATGTGACAAAGAGAGTTATAAAGAAAGGACATGATGGTGAAGAAGTTACTGAAACTCAGGATTTCACTAAAGTCTTCATTGGGAAGGTATATGAATTGAACACCAAATTGATGAATTGATTATTTGAGTTCCATAAATTGACTCTTCTGCGTCGCTGTTGCCTTATATTTTAAGGTTCCTATAATGCTCCGGTCAAGTTACTGCACGTTGTATCAGAATTCAGAGAAGGATTTGACGGAGCTTGGAGAGTGCCCTTATGATCAAGGTGGGTACTTCATCATCAATGGAAGTGAAAAGGTTCTAATTGCTCAAGAGAAGATGAGCACCAATCATGTCTACGTTTTTAAGAAGAGGCAGCCAAACAAGTATGCCTATGTGGGAGAAGTTCGGTCAATGGCAGAGTCCCAAAACAGGCCGCCCAGTTCCATGTTTGTGCGAATGCTCTCGCGAACTAGTGCCAAAGGGGTAATGGCATTAAATTTGGTGTTGAGGGCATATCGTCTGAAGACTTCTTTTTCTTTTCCCGGCAATTTGAGTTATAAATTTTATGTTTCTTATTGTTTGCTATCTGTTCTTTGACTGCAGGGCTCCTCTGGCCAGTATATTCGTGCAACCCTTCCATACATCCGAACAGAGATTCCTATTATTATTGTATTTCGGGCGTTAGGATTTGTTGCTGATAAAGATATATTAGAACATATATGTTATGATTTCTCAGATACTCAGATGATGGAGTTGCTGCGACCTTCCTTGGAAGAAGCATTTGTTATACAAAATCAGCAGGTATTTTTGTATTCTTTCTTTGAAGTTTGTGATTATGGTAATAAGCTTAAGACCCTGTCCTTTTTACTCTGTAATGAACTCTACTAAGCTTCTATAAATTTTTGTTCTTCTTTCCTTTAATGTCTGAGCCGTTCCTGTACTAGTTAGAACAGTCTACACTGTCTCGGTCATAAAATATGTACAAATTCAAGCTTTCATTTCAACACGCTTGCTAATAAAGACAGCTGGATTTTTCTTTTTTTTGGTTTTTTGTTTTCACAATATCACTTGCTAGGACTGGCATTGTTTTGATGTTTATACTTACCTGGATCTTTAGCAGCTCAATCTTCATTTCCGAGATTGCAAATTTTGGTCTCTTTATTGGTTGGTTCTTAACCTGTGTATCCTATTTTAACTTTTGGCCTTGCAAATTCTTCCTTCTTTTTTCTCCTCTTCATCTTCACTAACCTGTTTAGATGGGGTTGATAATTGCAGTTCACCCTTACATAGATTGTTGTTTGTTGTTCCTTCTCCTATTGCAGGTTGCATTAGATTACATTGGGAAACGAGGGGCCACTGTTGGTGTCACAAAGGAAAAGAGGATTAAGTCAGTCTTATTTTCTTTGTTCTATGTACATCTTAAGCTGTCTGATATCCTTCTTTGCATGCTTATCAAGAATCTTTTACTTATGTACTTTACAGGTATGCAAAAGAGATCCTTCAAAAGGAAATGCTTCCGCATGTTGGGGTTGGAGAATATTGCGAGACAAAGAAAGCTTACTATTTTGGGTAGGTTTTCCTCTGAATATATGTATGCTCTTTGTTGGCTTGAAAATAAATCTAAATTAAAAAAAAAAAATTATTGCTTCTATCAGATACATCATTCACCGGCTTTTGCTATGCGCACTTGGCCGAAGGGCAGAGGATGATAGGGATCATTATGGCAATAAGAGACTGGATCTTGCTGGTCCTTTGCTTGGTGGCCTGTTTCGAATGGTTTGTAGACGGTCAATGTTTTGGTGGTCATGTGAAAATTAGCAATCCATTGTTACAAATTGGAGTTTTTTTTTTTTTTTTTTTTTTTTTTTTGAAAAACTTGGGTTTTACCCTTGGTTTCTCTTTATATGATGCAGCTATTCAGAAAGCTAACAAGAGATGTCCGAGGTTATGTACAAAAGGTTCACTTAGATACACAGTCATTTATGTGGTTTGAGTTTGTCACTTTTATTTCTTGGGACTTGTATTTACATATTCTGTGCATCATGCAGTGTGTTGATAATGGGAAGGATGTTAATCTTCAATTTGCAATTAAAGCAAAAACGATTACCAGCGGCCTTAAATACTCACTCGCTACTGGGAACTGGGGTCAGGCAAATGCAGCTGGTACCAGAGCTGGAGTTTCACAGGTGTTGTTATTATATTCCCTTTTCTGTCTGTCTGTCAAAACTAATTTTGCTTCCTTGATTTATGCTTATGAGTTTTTTTGAGGTCCTTTTCTTTTAAAAATGCCTAATATAACCTGCATGGGTGGCCCAATGGTAAAGGGTGTGCCTTGGGACAAACTGTAAACTCGGATGTCCTAGGTTCGACTCTTGCTTTCTATGCTTGATTTTACCTGACATGCATGTATCTATGGGTTACCCAACCCATACACAGCATTTGTGGGGTGGTGTTATTTGTCATTAGAAAAAAGCCTAATACTGTGAATTAAACTGTGATATGGCATTGTTTTAGGTGTTAAATCGCTTGACATATGCCTCCACTTTGTCGCACTTGCGAAGATTAAATTCTCCCATAGGACGTGAAGGTAATCTCCATTCCTTTCGTTAGTTCTTATGTGTTTTTGTGGTTAAGTTATGGGCTTGAATCTTGATACTGTATGGTATCCTTTGTGCTTTCCAGCAACTTCTCTCCCTCTCTCACACACACAAAAAATGTGCTTATACAGATAAGCACACACAACTTTGTTATTTTGTTAGGTTGTTGATTTTTACGTCTCTTTGCATCTTACCAGGGAAATTGGCAAAACCACGACAGTTGCACAATTCCCAGTGGGGAATGATGTGTCCTGCAGAAACACCTGAAGGACAAGTGAGTGCCATGCATAATGAAGAAAATTTGTGCAACATAATGTGCTGTATGATCTCCTTTATTAATTTCCACTTATGGGTATCGTCTGGCTGTTACATTAGGCTTGTGGACTGGTAAAGAATCTTGCATTGATGGTGTATATTACGGTTGGATCAGCAGCATATCCTATTTTGGAGTTTTTGGAAGAGTGGGGTACTGAAAATTTTGAGGTGATCACTTTTGATTTATTTGTGAACAGATTTATATTTTTCTATTTCCTTTTTCCAAGTTTTTTGCCTTATGCCCTGATTATAGGAAATATCACCTGCGGTTATTCCCCAAGCTACGAAAATCTTTGTCAATGGTTGCTGGGTTGGTATTCATCGTGATCCTGATATGTTGGTGAAGACACTAAGACGACTGAGGAGACGGGTAAATATACAAATAGTTTGTTATGTCAGCTTATGGTGGAAGAGTCTGCAATCTTAGCTAAATCTTCTGTGGTTAAAACTGAGTTTTAAATTGCACAGGTTGATGTCAATACTGAAGTTGGGGTTGTTAGAGATATCCGCTTGAAAGAACTGCGGATATATACTGATTATGGCCGTTGCAGTCGTCCCTTGTTCATTGTGGAGAAACAAAGGCTTCTTATAAAAAAGAAGGATATTCAATCATTGCAACAGAGGGTAACATTAGTTGAATTTTTTTGACATATTTTTCACACTACATTGTGCTCCTTGATTACTTGAATGTCCTGATTTCATCGATGGTACTCCTTTTACTCCCTCCAGGAAACCCCAGAAGATGGTGGCTGGCATGATCTTGTAGCTAAGGGATACATTGAATACATTGATACAGAAGAAGAGGAGACTACTATGATTTCCATGACCATAAATGTGAGTATCCGTGGTATGGTTTCAGTTGGCTGATAATCAATAAATATACTCTCCAAACTTCTACGAATTTCTTGCCAGAATCTTACTTTCAATTATTTTAGGATCTCATAACGGCAAGGCTCAATCCAGAGGAGGCCTATTCTGAAACATATACCCATTGTGAAATTCACCCATCTTTGATTTTAGGTGTTTGTGCTTCAATTATACCATTTCCCGACCATAACCAAGTAAGTTTGCAATGCTCGTGAATGTTTCCAGATCTGAAGGTTTTGTTTTACCATCTCACTCATTTGTTGTTGGTTTGATCAGTCCCCACGTAATACATATCAGTCAGCAATGGGTAAGCAGGCTATGGGTATTTATGTCACCAACTACCAATTTCGAATGGTATGGAATCTATTTTAACCCCTTCTACTATTATGGTCTTGTTTTCTATGATCCATCAGGTTACTTATTGTTCTATAATTCTTTCAGGATACTTTGGCATATGTGCTTTACTATCCTCAGAAGCCTCTTGTTACTACTCGAGCCATGGAGCATCTGCACTTCAGGCAGCTTCCTGCTGGCATTGTATGTTCCAGATTTTGTATTGCATGTTTTCTTCCTCATTTCGATGGTGATTCTCAAAATTTTCTGTCTTTTACTTTGCTCTAGAATGCCATTGTTGCCATTGCCTGCTATTCTGGATATAACCAAGAAGATTCTGTCATTATGAACCAGTCATCAATAGATCGTGGTTTCTTTCGATCGCTTTTCTTTCGTTCTTATAGGTAAACAATATGAAAATATTTTGCCTCCATTAAGATGTCACATTTCTCTAGAGATGATGTATTATTAACCTTTTTTCGTACATAGGGATGAGGAGAAGAAGATGGGAACACTAGTCAAGGAGGATTTTGGCCGTCCAGATAGAGCCAATACCATGGTAATTGCTGAGCTGTGTATGGCTAGTTTTTAATGTTTTATGGATAATAGCCATCTGACTCGAACTGGTTGATAGGGGATGCGGCATGGTTCTTATGATAAATTGGATGACGATGGTCTTGCACCGCCTGTGAGTATCTAGGGCCCTTTTTTTTGTACAATGCTGTCTCTGTCATGCATATGGGTGAAAAATTTACTAATAGTGAGCTATAATCCTGTGTTAGGGAACAAGAGTTTCAGGGGAAGATGTAATCATTGGAAAAACTACTCCCATTGCACAAGAGGATGCTCAGGGTCCAGCTGCTCGTTACACAAAGCGTGATCATAGCACAAGCTTGCGCCACAGTGAAACCGGGATGGTAGATCAGGTAAGACTCAGGATTGCTGTTTGGGAGCTGATTGATTCAAGAATTTTAATGTTTGGATATTATGATGAAATGAATTACATTTGGAATATGTTTGTGCTTCTTTTTTGTGTTGGAATGTGAATTTCTTGATACTATTGGTCTGTTATTGTCTTTGCTATGGTGCTTCTGTAGGTTTTACTAACGACAAACGCAGACGGGTTGAGATTTGTGAAAGTGAGGGTGAGATCAGTTAGGATACCTCAGATTGGGGACAAGTTTAGCAGTCGGCACGGGCAGAAGGGAACGGTTGGCATGACCTACACACAAGAAGACATGCCATGGACAATGGAAGGGATCACCCCAGATATTATTGTGAACCCCCATGCTATTCCCTCTCGAATGACAATTGGGCAGCTTATTGAGTGTATCATGGGTAAGGTTGCAGCTCACATGGGGAAGGAAGGTGATGCTACTCCTTTTACGGATGTTACAGTGAGTTGCGCCTCTTTAGAATCTCTAGTTCCGGTGATACTGAGATGAATGTACTATCAATGTCTTAGAAGAAGTCTATTTATGTCCTTTATTGAACTTGCTCTGTCATCTTACCATTTAACACATTATAAGTAGTGTCTTTTATTCTAACTGAGGTACATAATAAATGCTATACAAGTGTTGTTTCTAGAGGCATTACTCCATTTTATCCATCTGGACTAGACAATCCTGAAGTCAAAAAAGTTTAGAAAAGACAAAATAAACCAAGTTTTGTAAGCTTTTTTTTTTTTTAATATAAAATTTTGCCTATTTTCATCTTTAGTGAACTTTGTTCAAAATTGACTCGAAATTTGTTAATTTTTAGAATTATCTATTCGAGACAGGACTAAAAAAAAGATTTGAGTCAAAAGTCGAAAAAAGTTTAGTAAAGACAAAAATAAGTTGAAAAAAAATTGGGTTTTTAGTTTTAGCCAATATTTTATTCTTCTGAGGACTAAACTCCAATAGCCTCAAAGAGATGCATCTACACTTGCATTCTTACATAATTCTTGTTACTGTCCAATATAGGGCTCAATTTCGAAATTTATGTAATAAACTAGTATCGACTGATCAATGAATGTTCGGCATCTTCAGTTAAACAGTATCAGACTCTACTATTCTGCGGTCTTGGGTCTAGATGCTTTAGATGTAGTCTATGATTTTCCTTCTGATACAGAATTCTTTTATTTTTCCATGGGACTCTTTATCTTAATTTTTATTTTCTGATATAATTTTTTTTTAGTACGGTAATGCTTATGTTCAATTGCATCGAAGTAGAACTGTTTTCTCGAGTTTCTTTCAATTTTTAAGTTTAAATTATGCCAATTTCCTTGTACTTGATACTCCAGGTCGATAATATCAGCAAAGCTCTCCATAAATGTGGGTATCAAATGCGTGGCTTTGAGACCATGTACAATGGTCACACAGGGCGGCGATTACCGGCTATGATATTCCTTGGTCCCACATACTATCAAAGACTGAAACATATGGTTGATGACAAGATCCATTCCCGAGGACGAGGTCCTGTACAAATCCTTACGAGACAGCCTGCCGAGGGACGGTCACGTGACGGCGGTCTCCGATTCGGTGAGATGGAAAGGGATTGCATGATTGCACATGGTGCTGCTCACTTTCTCAAGGAAAGATTGTTTGATCAAAGTGATGCCTATAGAATTCACGTATGCGAGCGTTGTGGGTTGATCGCCATTGCAAACCTCAAGAAGAATTCTTTTGAGTGCAGAGGTTGCAAGAACAAAACTGACATTGTTCAGGTAAGCTTACTTTTTGTCAACTTCTGGTTTGACCATGTGATTCTACATGAACATGCAACATGACACAAACACACTAATACCTGATTTTCAAAAAATGCAAGATAAGATATGTTTGGAACATGTTAAAAATTTATTACATGTAACTTGTAAGATGTATGGATATCTTACTCGAAGATAATGACAAAAAGAAGCATAACTCTAATTAAATTAAGAAGACATATTCTATAATTTAAACATTAAGACTCACGCAACAATTGCATTATAAGAAATACAAAACAATCGTAGAACGTTGAAATATATATGATTTATTCATCTTATAAATATTTCAAAATAAATTTGGAGTGTGCAAGCTGCATTTGAAAGAATGCAAAAAAGAAAAAAAAAAGTTACTATAAAGAGATTTGTCACATAAGTTGTATATGGATGGTTTAAAAGGTGTCACTAAAGTGTTTGTAAATTGTCTGACTTTATGAACTTTTAAGTTTTTAATTAAGAAACGTTGAAGAAGTGTCGGACATGATTTTAGAAGTGTCCACAGAGTGTCGTGTTTGGCACCCTCTATAGAAGTGTCCGTGCTTCTCTCTCTCTCTCTCTCTCTCTCTCATGCACGCATGCGCACATTATTTGTTTTTCATCTTGGTGAGAGCTTGACATTTCTCGACTGTATGTGCAGGTTCACATTCCTTATGCTTGTAAACTGCTCTTCCAGGAGCTAATGTCTATGGCTATAGCTCCAAGAATGCTCACAAAGGATATTAAACCAGCCAAAGACCAAAAGAAGAAAGGAGCCTGATCTTACTTGATTTCAGGAAGCTAAGCTGCCGCTGAAGATCAAAAGAGAGGAAAATCCGTTAATACTTTGGTGTTTGAGTAACTTATTGCTATGACCTATCACTGTACTCGAGTTTGTTTTATAAACTATTAGTGATACCTGACAGAAAGTCCTAGCTCAGTGTTACCAAGCTTGATGGATCGATGGCTAGCTTGAATTCCCGGCTGATTGTTATATGGAACTTTTCATGACGCCTATTTATGGCACGTAGCAACGAGCGTACAACTTCATTTAGCTGCAATTTTCTTGTTGGTTTTGAGACCTCCGAGGAGTTTGAATGTCTTTAACCATTGGCCTTCTTAAGAATTAAAGTTCTAGTGTATTTTTTTTCTCTTTTTTTTTTTTTATGACATTCTTATCTTTTAATCTTATTCATGTCCTGAAAATGTGTTGGAAAAAAAAAAAAGGAAAAGAAAAAGAAAAAAAATTGAAGAGAATGTCGCATTTTTTGCTTTGTACTTTTATGTATTTTAGGTTATATTGTACTTTCTTGCCTCTTTGTAATAGCATACGGTTTGTTGTTGGTGTATGCTGCAGGAGTTTAATTGGCTTCCCCTGTTGGGACATGAAATTACATTTTTATGACATTTTTGCTCCAATATTTTTCTTTATTATTATTATTATTATTGTTTTGCTCGGATTTGCCAATTGGGTGCGTATTTATAGTATTTTTGGAGTTCCTAGAACAAGAAGTGGGCATCTTGTGGAATTTAACCGTGGGAAACATGTAGAAGACATTCTAATATGAAACAAAAATGAGTTGTTCCCATTAAAATGTAATTTCCCTGACTTTATTTTTATTTTTGGATTAATTTCACTTTACTCACGACTCTTTTGGATTTAAAAACCACGCTTGTGCCTTTTTTGGGGTAAAGTGTAAGCATGTATGGATGTAATGGTTTTTGCAAAATGTCTAAATTAACCCATTTCTTTTCTTGTCTTTGCCCTTTTTTAATTTTCCACACAAATGGTATTGCCATATTCATATATTAATATCTTCCATTTCCTTTCTATTTTTGCTCCACTGGTCATTTGCAGAAGAAAGGGACACAACACAACACCATGTCGGAAAATATTTGAATAGATGCTTTAATTGACTAATAAAATGGTTTTATACAATAAGCACAGAAAGGAACACAAATTAACGAATATAAAAATTAAAAATTAAAAAGCCAAGGCATGGATATAAACCACTGCCCTTAAGAAGTGATTTCGCCCCCCACTAGGAACGTAGTCTTTGGTGCAATGGGCTCCGGCAGTCACTCTCAATGATACAATGGCAAAGCTTTGGATTGCATGCACTTACAGCAAGATTGCCCAATAAGATCAATGAATAATCAAGTGTATATATATCTATATACAGGATATGAGCATAGCATATAATGTGTACGTTAGAGAGATCAAAGGGAATGAAATGGCTAATATGCAATCCCATAAATTGCTCCATAAATTAGCCTTTAATTTATTCAACACATGCAATAAAAGATTTGAATCTTCTAGGTCCTTTGACCTTGATTTCCTGTAACCCCCAAGCCATTTAAATCGTCAAGGCATGAAAAAGTATACATTATGCATACGGATTGCTGCTAGTGACCCCACTAGGTCCAAAAACTATATATATTTAGATATAAATGTTAAATAATTCATTAAAAATTGAAGCTAATTTTTGAAGCATTCCAACAAGGGATTCAAAAATATGTTTCCAAGAGAGAGAGAGAGGGAGAGAGAGAAGGCACAAGATTTAATCCCTTCTCCAATGGAGTAATATACTGATAAGAAAAAAATAGTTGTGATTTATGAAATCAAACTAGCAATTCCAAGAAGAGTAAAAAAAAAGACGAAGAAAAGAAACGGTAGCTCAAGTTCAAGCTGCTTTTGTTTCATAGACAAGAAAATCGTAAAGAATTGTTACCAACACATAATTGCAGAACCAACATTTTAAAGCAACATTTCAATCATCAGATGGGAAGTCCTCATCCGAGGCATTTTCCAGGAATGAACCCAGTCTCTTTCTCAAAATGCTGAAAGTTTTGTCACCCTGTTTTTCAAAATCAGTATATTATTTTACAATTATAAACTAGGAAGAGAGAGAGAGAGAGAGAGAGAGAGCTGCAGCAGTAAGATGCATAAAATGATCTCACCTGTTTCTTCTTCTTCAAGGACTGTTCCAATTCGGCAATTCTATTTGCACAGTCTCTCTCATGTTCAGAGATCATACTTTTCTCTTTTTTCCCTGAAATCATCAAGAGTCTTAGTGTGTTTGTGTTTCACTGAAAGGGGTGAAGAAAGTGTTGTAGCTTACTCAGTTGTTCATATCGTATGAAAAGCCTTTCCTTCTCTTCTTCATGTTTGGAAATAGTTTCTGTCAAACACAAATGGCAGTTAGCACCAAATACAAGTTGAAGTAACCATTTTCAACTGGGGTTCTCCATCAATATTTGGGGAGGAGAACAATACAATACTCTATATCTTCAGGGAGGTTTAAAAAAAAAGACACAATACCCCATTGAAGAATTTCACTAATGTTGTGTTTGGTTGGAGAATTTGAGGAGGGATTTGGAAAGGGAAATGAAAAAGATAGGTGAAGTGTGAATAAAACATACCTATATTTCACCTACTTTCACACATCTTTTCCCTTTTTCTTTCCAAATTCCTCCCCAAATCCCTCAACCAAACACAGCGTAAGAGTAAGTTGCTCTCAATTGTAAATTTGGGGGTGGTGCATATGCTCTTATGTTTAAGAAAAGGGTCACCTACTGCATTGAGAATATCACACACCAACTTGTTGATCTTAAAATTTTAAAAGAAAAAATATATGATTCTATGAGCTCAAAGAGAAACCCAAAATGTTTAGAATTTGTTCGCTTACTCAAATGAAGAAAGAAAGGATAGAAGGCCTCTTCAAAATGGTTTCATTCCTTTTTTTTCTTTTGAGAAGATGCCAAGATTATAAGTACAATGCTTCCATAAGTGTAACTTAATTTTGTTAAGTGAGTCTAGAAAAAGTAAAATCATCTTATTTTAGGGCTGCCAGGTTCAGATGTGATTCAAAAAAATCCAAGCTCTATATATAGAATAGCAGGGAATAGCTTGGATATGTGAAATTTCATAAGCTCATTCTGGAGCAAGCTAAATCTGATCCTTTCAGGATATGGATGATTTCTTTTCTGAAGATATTTAAAATTACAGTCATGAGCATTTACCTAAAAATGAGATATGAAAGAATGTAAAAATATTGAAGTATATTGTAAAAATATTGAAGTATATTATTGATTGATGTATTACAAGATTGATTTGTCTGATTCATATTCTGTCTATTACAAATGGTTCCTTATATAGATGTAGGTGTAGTGGATGGTGGTAGTGGTGTAGTGGGTTAGGTTGAGTGGAGTAGGTGAGGTGGTAGTGGTGGTAGGTGATGGTAAATTCTAACAAAGAACTGTGAAGGTACATGCTTTCTACTGGAGTTAATAGCATTGATCTCTTGCTGAATTTTCACTCTTAGATCGTAAATTTATTTATTTTATATCGGAATATCACGTCAAAAATTTATTTCATACAGGTTAAAGACAATCAATAAGTATTGTACTGAGCGTTTCAGCTGCAGTTCAAAAGATTCCGAAATAGCATGTGGAGAAATGTCATTAGTTGAATAATACATTTCAACTGAAAACATGGGTAACCTAAGTTACCTTTTAAAGCCTGTAGATGTTCTGATTTCTCCTTGCAAAAGTTCTCATAAATTGATTGGAACTTGGCAGTCTCATTCTTCAGTAAGTTTTCGCACTGCAGATACAATCACATACATTCAAGTTTTAACTGAAAAACATTGATCTCATTAAGCTAAATACATCAATTAAGTTCCTTTGTTTCGCACAGACCTCCTTTGAGCTCTTTGAAAGTGCCTTGGCAAGACTTTGCCTGACAATTGAGGATATGAAATGCCCTATTAAGGCTTCTGTGCATAATAAAAGAGCGACAAAACCCAAAGTACAGTTAATTCAGTTTCAAACGTGTGTGATCTTGGGATTCATCCTCACCTTTCTTTTTCAATTTTGGTCTTCAATTCATCAAGCTTAGATTTGATCTCTGAAGCCACACTGCAAGTAAGACACAATAGAATACCTTCAAAAGTCATAACCGCACTGAGAAAAAAAGAATGGGAAAAGAACAGAAGATTGAAATCAATCATGGCATTTGGTTCAAATAATTAGGGGTATAAGAAATTAAAAGGTGAAATGAAACTGCCTGTTTCATTTGGTTTTGTAGTCAATAAAATGCAACCAAAAACAAGAAAAAAATTAAGAAAAAAGAAAAAAAAAACTTGAAAAGATTTTGTGCAATTGTTTTGGCTAAACCTAAGCCTACTAGTGTCTGATTTTGTAGGAACTAGTAGCAGTACCAAACAACTTCCTGTTTCCTTAAAGTTGTCTCTATTGAAAATCAAACCTTTTTTATTTTTATTTTTTATTACTCTGTATCCAGCCCATTGGACCGATTAATCCGGGGACCAATCCTACTATCCACTAGTAGGGGGTCAATTAAAGCCGAGGCAAAGCCCCATATGAACTAGCCTCGAGAAATTGTTTGCACCTAGGAGATTTTGAACCTGAGATCTTGGAGGGAACACACTCCTAAGCCCCAGGCCAACCCCTTGGGGTTGAAAATCAACCTAATTGATGGACACAAAGCAACAGAGTAAGCCCTGTGATATTTGTGATACAGATTTTGAATAAGTAACATATTAGGGCCACCGGAGCAACAAAGCAAGCATCACTGATGCATCAAATATATCATTTGGAATTATTGAAACTTGAGAAATTCATTCAGATAACATCATTGTCATTACGAATCACAAATGAACCAACAAAGTAATTTGCAAACTAGTATCGATTATGATTGGGAGACACATACATTCGACTTTGACAATTTTTTACTTACTGATCCAAATACATATCGTGAGATGCAGATTCAATGTTCAACACATGCATGTATATAATCATGTACGAGATGCAATCTGTCACATACAAATTCTCCAAAGAAGTTATATATGGAAGAAAATAACTCAAATTCAACTCCTGATGAACTGTAAAACACTAAATAGATTTCGTTTTTTGCATGTATAATGTGAATTCGTTTCGGATCTGTAAAATTCACCTTGAAATGGTCTCGTCATTCTTCTTCTGTCCATCTTTCTGAGCTTTCTCTCTGATCAGTTGCAGAGCGGACACAATTCCTTTGATGTCACTGAAAATTCCAAAAAATACTTTTCAGCAAATTTCAAAAAATCACAGCAAGTATATGAAGAAAACGTGCAACAAACACAGAGAGAGAGAGAGAGAGAATTGAACACGGAACTCGGAGAGAGCTGCATCGAAGTCGTCTTCAATGGCGTCTCGCTTCAGTTTCTCTGGTTTTGAAGCTTCCGATTCGGAGACTCGTTTCTTTGCGCTTGATTTGACTGTCGTCGGCATTGCTGAATCGTGGAATTGGTGTCTGTGGAGGTCTAGGTTTTGCGATCTGAAGCTGAATTTCAGAGGAAAAGTGTTCAGAATCGAGGAGAGAGACAGAGAGATTTTGTTGAGGAAATCAAATTGGAGTTGTTTTAGTCTTTGGCGCGAAGCAGAGCCTTGGAGTTTGGGATCGTGGTGGATGAAACCAACGAGTTCAGTGCGACTCACTGAATTTTTTAAGGTAAATTACAAACAAACCTTTGATTTTTGTTTAAAATACGATTTATTTTTGTGATTTTAAAATTTTTAAATATTTTATTGTCAAAATTTTTTTATTTAACAAAATTAATTGCAAAAGTAAAATTTTTAATTATTCACCTATACAATAATAAAATTATCTAAATTATTAATTGAAATAAAATTTTAACATTATTAAAAAAATTTAATTAACTTGATAATTTATTAATAAAAAGACCTATTTGTTATGAAATTACAAACCTTAGGGACATAATATAATTTCCAGAATCACAAGAGATAATTTGTAATTTAGGTAAACTTTAGGAGATAGTGTTTGTAATTTATCCATTTTTTAAGTAATTATCATATTCTTTAAATTTATTTTTTTGAGAATTGAGCTTTTTATTTATTTTTATTTTTAGCGAATATTTTTAAAATTTTAAGTAAATTTTTTGAATGTACCTAATCTAAATGTACTTAAAAAATAAAATATTTATAAAAATCAATTAATATACAAGAATATAAAAATTTACTGAATTTTTATATATATTTTTTTGTATTTTTAATATTTAGTAAATTTTTTTAAAAATATACACAAATATTATACTTTGTATGTGTATTTATGTTAGGTATATCTAGAAAATTAAAATATTTACTTAAAATATTAAAAAAATTTAATAAAAATAAAAAAATTCAAAAAGTTAAAAACTCAAGTCTCAGAAAAGTAGATTCAAAATACTGAAACTAAAGATGATATGTTGTTGGCTTTAGAGAAAGAACATCATGGCAATTTTTGGGGGTAAATTAAATTAGGGAAAATCAAAAAATGTCATATGAGAATAATTTTCTAATACATTGATAGGTTCTATTTGTTTTGACTATCTCACTGTGAGATCCTCTTTTGAATTTTGGTATGATTTGGCGGACGTTTATAGCGATTTCGATTTTAACCCAACCCTTTTGTATCTTGGACTCGGGTTTTGGGGTTTCGTAGTGTTGCTCATGTCTTTCTCCTTTCATACTTCCTTGAGTTTGGCTGCTGGATTGCAATGGTTGCGTTTGGAATAGGTTAGTTGCTTGGTTTTCAAACTTTTGTTGTCTAAAATTTTACTCCTTCGTTCGAGCAATACTTTTCGCGCTCGAGCGAACTTTGTGAATTATCAATACTTTTGCAGGTCTGCAAAACTATTGGGAGAGTATATTCCACGCTCGAGCTGTGTTTTTTGTCCTCGAGCGGTCTCAGCTCGAGCGACCTTTTTTGCACTTGAGCGTTGGTTTGTTGTCTACAAAACTACTGGGAGTGTGCATTCTGCACTCGAGCATCACTTCTTGCGCTCGAATGGAACAGCTTATTATGTCTGATACTCGAGCGTCACTTCTTGCGGTCGAGCAGACTGTGCGTATATCAGTTCGTAGCAGCACCTTTTTACATTACTTTTTCATATCTTTTTCTCTCAAAACCCTAAATCTGGAGCCTCTCTCTCTACAACTCTATCTTTCTCTACATTTTTACCTAGATCCGTTAGTTTCTCTACTCTTGTGTCTTTGAGAAAGAGGTAGAGCGTCTCAAGAGTTTCACTTTGGTTCAAACAAAACTTGGTTTCGGCGTCTTTGAAGTTTCTTCCTTGCTTGCTTGTCTCCTAAACTTGAGGTAAGGACTTTTTACACTCTTTTATGAATTTTAACTTAGTTATTTGTTGATACGTAAAGAATATTGAAATTTGGGATGATTTTAAACAAACCTAAAGTTTTGGTTTAAATCAAAAGAGGGGCTTTTAAATGTATATATCAAAAATGGTTGTGGGAGGAGACGTGAGGTTGTGTTGTGATAAATTTGTTGATTTTGATACTCGGGATGGATTTTGGAAGAAAATGGAGTTTTGCTTTAAATTGTCTCAAATAGTTATTTTGTATAAATAATGAAATTGGTGTTGGGAATATGAAATTGGATGAATGTTCATATAAATGGTGGAGTTGGATATGTATTACCTCTCACTTATGGAAATTTGGATAATATATCTATCTTAGAGTTTGTATATCTGTTTAGAAATATCTATTTTAGACTATCGATGGAGAATAGCTATAATTGTTGTAGAAATTGCATGAAGATTAGGTGAATTAAAACTAATCTTTTATCCGTTGTCATTGAATATGATTATGTCTTGATACATTGTAAATATATGATGTTTGAGAGAAGAAAGAGGATGTACTCCATGTTTGGAAGAAGAAAGGGGATGAACTCCATTGAATTAAGTTGGCCTGTGTGTCTAGGGTGAAAGTCTCGAAAATCGCGCGTATATATAGGTGCCGATTCTCACGGACAAAATATCCGTAAAATGGTAAAATGGAAGTATTTGTATAATGGTTGTGTTGGTTAGAGACCCACTGAGTTGTACCCTCAGTTTGGTTGTCTGAATGAAATGGTGAATGACTTATGAATTGAGATGTAGAGCTCGACATGACATAATTTTGTGAAAAAGTTATAAATAATTTTATCACGGGCATTGAATATGCATATCATACTTACATCTTTGTTAAAATTCACGCATTGTATTAGATTGTTTCTACTGGGTTTTGGCTCACCCTATTTGGAAAAAACCTTTTAAGGTATTGATGATATATCTCCGCCAAGGCAAAAACTTGGGAGGAATCGAGGCTGAAGGCTTCTTTTGTGTGTATTATGTTATTATTTTGATTAAAGCCAAGGGCTTTACATGTATTGGATTTATATCCGCTTTTGTTGTAATCGAGCATGGTATTGGAAAGATGTAAGCCTATAGGGCATTTATTTAATTAAACTCTTTTGTACTATTAATTCTCATGAAATGAAAGAACATTATATTTTGATTTATATTGTTATTTACATATGGTCTTGGATGGATTTATGGTATTTATTTCGGGGCGTTACAATTTGGTATCAGAGCGTACCGGGTTTAAATACTTTGGGTATGTGGGAAATGGTTATTGCCACAATGGGTTTGTCTCGCTTGACAGAGACTTTGGTATGTACGATGTGTTTACATGATAACATGCTTATGCAGTTATATGGGTATGAGATTTAGTTTATGGGATGTTGATTGAGTTTACGGGTTTCTAGAAGTCCTATTAGAAGAGCATTTGATCACTGTTGTTTCTAATTTGAACTCTGGCAACGCTGCGGGACGGTCATTATCTGGAAATGAAATTCGTATGTGTTTATGTGACAACGTGCTTAGGTAGAGTGAATTACTATTGTCTAACACATTAGGACGTGAGTGAGTTAGCTTTGACACACTTGTAAATGTGCTAATCTCTTGTGTTACCTTCATTAGGATGTCAGGATGTGGACGTAGTGGTGGTAGGCGTGGTAGGCCTAAGAGGTATGAAATGCCTTTATCGGATGATATTCCAGCATAAGAAGAACGGGTTGGTCAGGCCAATGTGGCCGAACCAGTGGGTCAGCAGGCCATGGGCGCCTTAGCTTGCGAAATGGCTAGATCATTGTTGGAGTTTACGGACATTCTCAGAGTAGAGAATCAAGTCCAGGCCCAAGTAGCCGAGGTAGGGCCGTCTTTCTTGAAGCAGAAGTTTTTCCGGTCTAATCCGGATGAGTTTTTGGGTGATCCCAAGGAGCTGCTGAAGGCAGATGAGTGTCTAGAACAAATAGTGAAGACGTTCGAGATGCTTGGCATTGAGGACGACTAGTTGAGAGTGACCTTGGCATCCTTCTAACTGAAGGGAGATGTGGGTCAGTGGTGGAAGTTTGCGTGTGGGCGCATTGGGATGACCTAGGAGGCTTTCGTTAGTGCTTTCTAGGATAAGTTCTTGCCTCCTACAGTTCAGGAGAAGTTGAGAGATCAGTTCTCCAAGCTTGTGCAGTTGAACACTCCGGTGGCTAAGTTCGAGGCCACATTTACTAGCTTGTCAAGATTTGCACCAGAACTCGTGGCGACTAAGGAGTGCCGTTGTTTAGCATTTGAGAAGAGATTGAGGATCGGGCTCATGTTCAAAGTGGTCGGGTCAATGATTAGAGATTATAGACGCCTTGTGGAGGCGACGGCTCATTTGAAGACCATAATGTAGATAAAAGAGGAGATGATGAGGGGCTCCAGGAGGAGTCAGGATATTCAGGGGGACAGTAAGAAACAGAGGGGTTCTAACCCACAGCAGTCCTAGGGAGCTCAGTCAAGGTCCACTTTTCCAGTACCGAGTTCGGGTTCTGGGAGAGGTTTTTGGGGCGATGTCACTTGTTTCAAGTGTGGTCAGTTAGGCCATAAGTCTCCAGCTTGCCCGCAGAGAGGAGGAGGGCGGCGATCTGCATCGTCTTCGGCTCGTTCTCAAAGCTAGAGTCAGGGGAGAGGCCAGTCGCTCACTTGTTATCAGTGTGGGCAGGCGGGACACATGAAGAGGTTTTGCCCTCAGTTGGGCGTCACACCTGGTGTGTCTGGTTTGAGGTAGACACAAAGTCACCAGCCAGCACAGTCAGAACAGGCCTCGAGGGCTAATTAGAGAGCCTCTTCGACTCAGTCAGTGCATCAGGCTTATGCCCCTAAAGGGTAAGTAGGTTGAGCAGAGACCTACGGGGCGTGTGTATGCTGTTACCCCGCCGGATCTTGTACCAGCCCCTTCGATAGTGAGCGGTGCCTTCTTGTTTTGCAATTCAATTGCTGATGTGTTGATTGATACTAGTGCATTCCATTCATATATCTCGTCTGCATTTATACCGGTGTTGGGGTTAGAATTGGCTTGGTTAGCATCCCATCTCTGTGTAGAGTCACCTATTAGTGGTGAGATTGTTTTGAAGTAGGGGTGTTGGGGTTATGACTTGGAAGTTATCGGTCACCGACTTCCTTTTGCATTTGTGTTGATTGACATGTCTAGTTTTGATGTTATTTTGGATATAGACTGATTTTCATCATATCGGGCTATCATAAATTGCTACCGTCAGAGGCGTACTATATGTACCTTGAGCGGTGATTGTTTTTATTTCTTGGGGAACCGAGTTGATAGAGTTT